CTGGCTGCTTTCTACCTTGGGAATGTTTGCCAATTCTGAATGCAAGATGAGGCTCGAGCTTGGCCTGAATACAAGGAATTCACTGTGGGGGGAAAAAAGAAGTTTTTGGAGATTGTATGGAGCTGGAATGGCAATTTGGAAATCTCAGGAGCCCTAAATGCACAAAGGTGGTTTTTCCCTATCATTCATTTGCTGAGTCAAAGGGCACATGAAAGGTTAGGGAGCATCTTTAAAATAGCAGACTGAAATCTACTATGGTCTCACAGCAGCTGGGAGACAGAATCTGTCTCAAGGAGGAGCATCTGCTTCAAACACACAGCCAGTCTCTCCCAAAGACATTTGCCAAATTCAGAAAAAGCATGAGATGGAGACTACAGAGGTAAATTCAAAACTGTCAAAAGGCAGACCAATGGCCTTATAGTGTCTACAGGTAAAATAGGGTTGGCAGAGACCTGCTAGGCTAGCAGTCAAAAACTATAGGACTGTCTCCTGCACTCTGAAACATTTGAAACCAGAGATAGACTGAATTTAACTAAAGCCCCATCCCTGTTTAAATCCTCAAAGGGCAAATCCTCTCTGAGCCAAATTAATGTAAACTTCACTCTCTACTGACCTTTAATTCACAGTGTCCAAGATAAAATTAAAAATTACAAGACATGAAAAGAAGAGAAAAAAATCCACTTGAAGCAAAAAGAGAGATGACCTACATGTTGAAATTAGCAGACAAGGTCTTTAAATAACTGTATTAATATGTTAAGGAAAATAAAGGGAAAGGTGGACAAGCTGTTAAAATATGGAGCATATCAACAGAGAAGTGAATAAGAATCAAAGGACACTCTAGACTAAAAATTAAAATATCTGATAGTAAGAATGCATTGGATGGGCGTAACATTAGACTGGCAAGACAAAATCCAGGATTGGCAGACTCAAAGGCAGGTAAACTTTAAAATATTCAAAATAAAACACACAGAGAAAAAAAGAACAGAATAGAAAAGAGTTGTGAGCCATTGTCAAATGATCTAACAAATGTATAATTGCAGTCCCAGAAGGAGAGGAAAGAATGGGGAAGAAGCAATAATTGAACAAATCATGGCTGAGAATTTGATAAAACTGATGAAAGATGTTGATCCATAGATGCAAAAAGCTCATCAAATTCCAAGAAGGATAAATCTAAAGAAAGTTGTATCTATCACATTCCTACAGACCTTATTCTCACAGTTTCCATTTTCTGGAAGACAAAAAAAAAAAAAAGCCACATCTGATTTAATTGATCTGGAGTAAGACCTAAACATCAATGTTTTTAAAAGCTTCCCAGGTAAACAAATGTATAGCCAGTGCTGAGAACCTGGTCTAAAAAATATATTAGAAGACTAATGTACAATTGTTTAATTTTTTATGTTTTCAAAGGGTTATAAGAAGAAAAAGATTGTATATTACTAACACTTCAATATTAAAAAAAAGAAGAAGAAGCAACTTCCATTAGCTTTTTTCCTTAAAATGTCCCCTGCTGGCCTATCAGGGAACATATTTATATTTTGATACCATCTTCATACCTCAATTCCACAGTTTCTAAATGAAGGCATTAATACCTGCTCTCTTCAAAATCCACTGATTATCATGGGGAAAAAAATGAAATGGCATAGATTCACACTGGCCAAGAAGCTTCTTTTGCAGAATTGTTATACATTATTTATATTAGAAGCATTTTTTTTAAGATGGAACAGAAATGGTAGCTGTAAATGTAGAATATCCCAGACCTAGAGTCACAAAGTAGGAGCATGTGATCAAGAGCATCTTTGTGCCCCAGGGGCCTGCTGTGTCATAGGCAAGATCACCCCCAAATACTGAATTTACCTAAATTTATAAAGATCACCCAATAAAAGTCAGAGGTGTTGTCTTTACAATCACCAAATTTTAAAGTATAAATAATAAGTCAGCAGAAGACAGAGCATCTTCTCAGTATAACAAGGCATGAACTATCCTCCAGGTAGAGCCCAAGAGCTCCTTGCCACCAAGCCTGTCCCTGCCCAGCAGAGAATGCCGGCTCCCCGAGCTGGCCAGCCCAAACTGTAGCTGAAGGCTGCTAATTCTTCTGGGAAAGAGCTCTGCTTTCTAGCCACCCACATGGTCTACACAATCTCAACAAGAGCTACTGCATCTCCATTTTAGGGTGCATCAAATCCATTTGACAAAATCAGTAGCTGTTGATTTGGAGTTTTGGTACATGTCCCCTCCCAAGACTCCTCATCTGTTTTTCCTGGCATCTAAATAATTACTTCAGCTGATGGACATACTGCATGAAATTGTTCTCTCCTGCTTAGGTTATGTTTTTGCTGTTTACCCTTCCACAAAACTTACTATTATTGTGTTTAAACCTATCCTCGGGGCCACTTTACATTTCCTGCAAAATTCTCAAAATGGCCTTTGCTGGAGTTCCTCATCTGTGTATGGCCTTGACTCTCCTTCGTCCTCAGCGCTGATTTTCATATTCCACCAGGCCTCTTGTTACACACTGGTTCAAACCACTCATCTATAGATCAGTCCGTAAGACCTTAAACACAGGGTTTGAGTCCCAAGTTTTTTACTCCTACTTATAATTTCCTTTCGGTTACCACTCACTACAAAGTGAAATTTGCATGAATCCCTTCTAACGCGTTTCCTTTCTTGCTCATCTTACAGATAGCAGCTTGCCTCAGCCTACACACTAGCTGCCAAATGATTCCACATATACAAGAATTTATTTTTTGAAAGAAGAATTGGTTTTTTAGCCCATCATGTTCTCCTAGTGGCCAAGCCACAGTAGAAAACTTCTCTGTAATAGAACTTGATATGAGAAATACTATTTACATATCTACCTCACCACTCAGCATGGCACATGATCGGCGTGGTCCACACTGGATGAACGAACTCCAAGCCTTGAATTATTGCCCCCACTGCAGCCACTAAATGTCATATGACCTTGAAAGAGACATTTGACCTTTGAATGACATAGGGTCGTCTTATGATGATCTTTGACCCCTATACTTATGAGATGGTTGGTTTGGTTTTTAACTCTAGGGGCACTAAGAGCTCCTTAGTCTAAGTTTAGTCTGAGCAAAACAGAGGAATTTGTAGGAGAAGTAAGAGCAGAAAGCTGGCTTTTTGATCAAGAAAAACAAGTGAAAAGAAGCTTGGATTCTTGGTGGAAAGGAGTGGCATTGGAGTGAATATTTTGCTACCATATATATGCATTCAGGGTGGTGGGGTCCAAAGTACACAGTGCCCTTCTCTCTATCCTAAAGGGAGAAGAATTCAAAGGCATCAGCATTGTCGTTCCAAATGGGCAATTATCTGCATGTGAATGTTCCTCGCCATCCAGCGTACACATCAAGCCACTGCTCCATGAAGTGGAATTACCCCTTACCAAATGGTTCTTAAAACCTCTGGCTCTCCTGCCTTCCCTGACCCAAATTCACATAAATGTTTAAGCATCTTTTTCTAGGAGGGCTCAGGTAATTGCAAGTGCATGGACAGCTGTACAGTGTGTACACTGCACAAGGCAGTCGACCCAGGGGAAGGTGTGGGCTGAGATCCAGCTCATGCATTGCTTGTCACACCCTAAGCCCTGGTACTGGCTTGAGTCCATGTGGAAGAAAAGGTACCTTTTCCTTCAAGCACAGACACAGTCTGTTTGCCAATCCATGTGCCTGTGGGCCTGAGGATGTCCAGAGGGGCACCCACAGAGGTTCACACAGTGAAGTTCAGTACAAACTAGTGGAAGCCCTGGATGATTGTCTGAAAGTGAGTGCATATAGGTGTACATGCATGTGTGTGGGTGTTTTTGGGGGGATCGGTGGGGGAGGTTGCCTTAGGGTCCTGCATACCTGGTCAGTTTACTTCATTCCTTTGCATGACCTGAGGGTGCACCTTTCCTTCCTTAGCTTTTTCTTAGGCATCTCACTCAAATGTTCTCCAGATAATCAGAATATTTATGCCCTAACTCCTCCTTTTCTTTTCTCTTAAACCCATCCCTTCTGATTACCTCCTCTTCTCCCTAAGGTGTGCCACTTTTCCCTGGAGAATGATTCAGTGTTCATACCCTGCTCCCTGCTCCCACCTTACATTTTGCATATTCCAAAGCTTAGGCATTTGCAGAATGCCAAGGTGTTTATCAGTTACCAATTGCTGCATAATGAATTACTCAAAACTCAAAGGTTTAAAACAACAAATATTTTGTTTGTAGAATCCAGAAGTGGCTTAGCTGGATCACTCATAAGTTGTGATTAAGCTGTCAGCCAGGACAAGATTCAACAGAGACTGCCAAGCTCACCCACATGACTGGCAGCAGGTCGAAGTTCCTCTCTCACTGTTGCTTGGAGGCTTTAGTTCTCTCTCCAAAGGGGGCTGACAATGTGGCAGCTTGCACCCCTCAAAAGCCCAAGATTTAGGAGAGAAAGGGAGCCGGCAGGTGCAAGAGTGCCCAAGAGAGAAGCTGCGGTCTTTTAGGACCTGATCTGAGAAGTGATGTGTCACTTCTGTCAAACACACTGGCCACACAGACCAGCTCTGGGACAATCTGGGGAAGGGGAATTCCATGAGGCCATGAATACCAGGGCCCTTCAGGGGCCAATGTGAAGGCTGGCTCCGATAGCCGCAATCCTCTGCCCAGTGTTTACATGTTCTCCAGAGAAGGCAGGGTGCATACATGCGTACGTTATCCATGTAGAAGTTCAGCACACTATAAAGTGGATCCTGGTTTTTTTCTCATTTTGAAGATGAGAAAACTGAGGTTTAGAAAGATTAAGCAATTCACATACAATCACAAAACTAATAGTGGTTAGACTCACGTCCATTCTTTCCCTCATGCAAGGTCTTCCTATTTTGTGCACAGTGTTTTCCTCTGCCCTCCAGTCCATCCTGTATAATTCACTAGTGTTATCTTTCTTCTCAAAATGTCTAAAAATGCCTTTCAAAAAGAAAGAAGAAAAATAAACAAAAAAACAAAAAACAGAAAACAAAAATTTAAAATAAAATTTTTTTTAATGTCTTTCAACTGAATAGAGGATAAAATCCCATCTCCCCATAATAGCATATAAACTCTTCTATAGTTTTATTACAACCAACCATGATTGTTGATTTTATTTGTCGACCTGGCTGGGACATAGTGCCCAGCTAGTTGGCTAAATATTATTCTGTATATGTCTGTGAGGGTGCTTTTGGATGAAAGCAAAAATCAGTGGACTTGGAGTAAAGCAGACTGCTCTTCCAAATGTGGGTGGGCCACATCCAATCAGTCAAAGGATGGAATAGAACAAATATTTGGCCTATCTGAACAAGAGGCAATTTCCAGCAGAAGGCTTTAGGATTTCCCAAGCAGCTCGGCTCTTCCTGGCTCCCCAGCAGACAGCCTCCGGACTCAGCGGCAACTCTCCCCGGCATCTGCTGCCTGCCGGCCTCCGTCGGATCTTGGACTTCCCAAGACTTCACAATTACACGAGCCAGTTCCTTAAAATACATATATGTCTTATTTACACATACACATACACATACATTGTATTGGTTCCACTTCTCCACGGAACAGAAAATAAAGGTAAGGTTGCTGAGCAACACAAAGATCCAGATATGATTCAAAGACTCTGAGGTGAGAAGACAGAACAGACAGGGAGCTCCCAGCCACTTGCCGAGAAGTCCATCCCTGCTTACCTGTATAGCAACCACTTGGCAATGAACTTACTCTCCTTTGGGAAGACTTTTGTTTTCTTCCAGTAGGATTTTTCTTAAAAGTGATATTAATTCAGGAAGACCTTTATTAGAAACACCAAGGACACAACCCTCTCCCTACAAGTTCTTCCTTACCCCTCTGTCCCATGCCCGGGAAGTATTTTCCCAAACTAGCTTAGGGAGCATGGCTATGCCACCTTGACAAAAATATTCCATTACCTCTCGGTGACCTTTCTCTGAGACTTAGAAATGGAGTGTTTCAACTATAGGTCAGGCACTGGATGACTTTACTGGTGCTCCCTGAGAGACAAGGCTGATGAATAGCATTTGAACCCTGTTTCCCTAATCCTTCAGGCAGAATTAGAGGCTCTCCATAAGGGTAATCCTGAATGATTCATGGTGCCTGCTTCAGCACAGCCCCACATCATATAAATACAAATTGACAGTTTGCACACAGCAGCTTCATGACGGTATTTACTTAAAATCCTCTCAAGTACACTCCCAATGACTGCAATGGGGACAGCTCTCTGTTTAAGGCTAACAAAGAGGCACCAACTTGTGATATCCAGCCGTCAGATTTGCAGGAACACAGGAGCCACTGAATATTTGGCTCCCTTTTTGTGCCACCTCACACTCATCTCCCACTGGGTCAGGCAATGGGTTTGTTAATTCCTTGCAAGTATAATCCATTAGGCAAACAAACAAACAGAATAAAGGTAGTAAGCGGAGACCTTTGGATAACCCTCTTGGCCATCTCGAAATTTCGAGGGCTTCAATGGTGAAACAAAAATCGTGGCTACAGAATAGTAAGAGAGATGGGAAGCAATTGGGCTACCAGTAATGCAGGAGAGTTTGAGATAATACAGAGCACCAAAAAAAGCCCTATGTGGTGAATGTGTAAAGAGGGAAAACTCATTTAAAGGCCCCCAAGAAAAAACTGAACTCCATTGTTTTCCAAAAGGATTCTTGATAGATAATGAAACCAGTAGGCAGATATCAACTGTTATTGATCTGTGTCTGTGTTTTCAACACTGGCAACCCCACTACTTCAAAGAAAATGTCAAAAACAGACACATTTTTCACTTAGAGCAATATTAAGGTCACCCTCGCAGCACCATCCTGACAGCTAACCCAGGACTCAGGAGGAGAAAACGTGAAGGAGGCTTTGGAAAAGGGTGGAACTCGTGTAAATAAAAGCAGTGGGAGCCCACACTGCCTGAGCATCAGCTTTCACGCAGGCCTCTTTGGTGGACCAACGTGGTGTGAAGTAATCTCTTTAATGGTCGTGGGAAGACCTGATTTCCTTTGTGTGTAAGCCCATTGTGTGTTTCCTTGAGAGGACTCCCCTTCTCCTTCCTGGCTTTCTCTGATGTTCACCCTAATGCTTCACCCTTTCTTGTCCAGAGCATGAAGTAGCGCCCTTTGGAGACTGCGGAGGAAAGAAATCCACCCAAGCAGATGGAGAGCTGGGAAAGCTCTGGACCAAAGGCTGACAGGAAGGAAACTCCCTTCTCCAGGTCACCTGTTTTTGCACCTTTGGGTATGACCTTCTCTGTGTTTACAGTAGGCATGATATTATTTTATTCTATTATTAATTGGTAATCAATTCACTTCAACCACTTGCCCTTTGGCTCATATACCCTATCCTGAAATTTAGAAGGTAGAGCAAAAAACTAAAGGCTCTGGAATAGTCACAGAGATGGGAAAGAATGAGCTACTAATCACATGCTAAGTGGCAGCTACCTAGAGCACTTAGAGAGCAGAAATATATGTTGTTGATACAGCACCACACCAAGGCTCTACAACTTGTTTACTTCATTCTTTTTTTTTTGGTATCATTAATCTACAATTACATGAAGAACATTATGTTTACTAGGCTCCCCCCTTCACCAAGTCCCCCCCACAAACCCCATTACAGTCACTGTCCATCAGCAAAGTAAGATGCTGTAGAATCACTACTTGTCTTCTCTGTGTTACACAGCCCTCCCAGTGCCCCTCCCACATTATATATGCTATTTGTAATGCCCTCTTTCCTTTCCCCCC